TTTTTCCTTCCTTCCTTCCTTTCTTTCTTTCTCTTTCTTTCTTTCTTTCTTTCTTTCTTTCTTTCTTTCTTTCTTTCTTTCTTTCTTTCTTTCTTTTTCTTTCTTTCTTCTTTCTCTTTCTTTCTCTCTTTCTTTTTCTTCCTTCCCTCCCTTCCCTCCTTCCTTCTTTCCTTCCTTCCTTTCTTTCCTTTCCCTCCCTTCCATCCTTCCCTCCCTCCCTTCCTCCCTCTCTCTGGCTTTCTTTCTTCTTTCTTTTTTGAAACAGAGTCTTGCTTGGTTGCCCAGGCCAGACTACAGTGGCATGATCTTGGCTTACTGCAACCTCCACCTCCCAAGTTCAAGCAATCCTCTTGTCTCAGCCTCCCCAGTAGCTGGAATTACAGTTGTGCACCACCACGCCTGGCTTTTTTTTTTTTGTTGTTAACTTTTAGTAGAGACGAGGTTTCACCATGTTGGCCAGGCTGGTCTTGAACTCCTGGCCTCAAGTGAACCACCCACCTCCACCTCCCAAAGCACTGGGATTACAGGCATGAGCCACTGTGCCTGGCCTTACATATCCCATTATCTTTATCCCCTTGTTGGTTGATGGGCACTTAGGTCAGGTCCATATCTTTGCAATTGTGAACTGTGCTGCTATATGTGTCTTTTTCATATAATGACTTCTTTTCCTTTGGGTAGTGGGATTGCTGGATCAAATGGTAGTTCTACGTTTAGTTCTTTAAGTAATCTCCATGCTGTTTTCCCTTTATGGGAGATTTAATCTTGGTTATGTTTTGGGCTTTCTTCCCACTCTCTTTCCCAATTTAGGGCCTTGCAATAGTGTCTGGGGCTTTTATGTTGAACAGAACATCTAGGGCAGGGCCTCCGGTCTTTGGAGCATGCTGATAATGCTGGTATGTGCCTTGTTCAAGCCTGCACACTTTTAGGGTAATGCTGGTATGTGTCTTGTTCAAGCCTGCACACTTGTAGGGAGTGCTGTTCTGAGGCTCCAGCACCTGCTCAGGCACAGTGATCATTCTCCAGCTCTTTCCGAAGACTCAACTCTTAGTGTTCCCTATTTTGGGCCCTCATTGAAAGTGGTACCTAGGCTGCTTTTTTCCCTAGAAATCCTGTGGTAGAATTTTGACTTCTATTACTTTTGCCCTCTGATGTTATTCCCAGGGTTATGACAAAAGGGACATCGAGGATGTAATTAAATTAGTTAATAATCAGTTGACCTTAAAATAGGGAGCTTACTCTGCATTATTTAGGTGAACCTGCTCTAATCAGATGAACCCTAAAAAGTAGAGATCTTTCTCAGCCTCATAGAAGAAGAAAGAAATGAGAGATTTGAAAAATTAGGAACATTAAGATGCATTTGTTGATTTGAAGATGAAGGAGCCACGTGTCAAGGAATCAGAGATCTTTGTCCTACAGTCAAAGGAGTTGAATTCTGCTAACAACTTGAATGAACTTGGAGGCAGATTCTTCCCTATAGTCTCCAGATAACAGCCTAGTCCAGCTGACACCTTGATTTCAGACTTGGAAGGCCCCAGACAGAAGTCTAGTTGACTGATACTGTGCTTACATTTCTCACTCACAGAACTGTGAGAATAAATGGGTGCTGTTTTAGGCTGTGAAATATGTGGTAATATGTTACAGCAGCAAAAACAACAACAACAAAAACTCCAAAAAACCAACAAACAAACAAAACACACACACACACACAAATGAAAAACGAAAAAACTAACATAACTTTCAAGAACATCATTTCTTTTCCCTGTCTTGGGGAATCTCCCCTCCTCAGAAGAAACTTCTGCTTCTTAAACTCTTCTTAAGCTCTCACAGATAACAGTGCACAATTTACCCCAAGTCCATTGTTTGTGAAAACCTAGGAACCCTAATTTTCAAAAACAAAATCTTGGTTGAGCATGGTAGCCCACATCTATAATCCCAGCACTTTGAGAAGTAGAGTCAGGTGGATCTCTTGAGTCCAAGAGTTTGAGACCAGTCTAGGCAACACAGCAAAACCCCATCTCTACAAAAAATGCAAAAATTAGTCAGACATGGTGGTACACACCTGTGGTCCCAGCCACTTGGGAGGCTGTCATGGGCGGATTGCTTGAGCTGAGAGAGGAGACCCCCTTCCCTCCTCTTGCTTCCTGGCCTCCATCTCCTCCTCCCCTCCGGATGGGAAGGAGGGTGAAAAAAAGAAATAAAATACCAAAGAGCTGGGAAAATAACTCCCTTTTCGGTTCCCAGCATCCCTGCTATCTGTAAGCCTTGAAAGAGTTGCAAATGAATGTTATCCCTACAGGCTGGAGCCTGGCACTGGGTCATGTCCCCACGTCTGCACGGCCTAGGCTCCCTCCTGGAAACACCTCTGCCAACTAATAATTTACTACCTTTGTCTTGTTGCTGTAAGCCCCCTCCCCTGCCTGTTCCTGCTTGCACTGCATATGAAGTAGCGAATCAATAAAGCCAAAAGATTGTAAGGTCAGACGTCCAGCCAATGGACAATGACATAGTTTTGCCTCAGTTTCCCCTTTAGTGTTGCCTATAAGAGGGGAGAGAAGCTGCTTCTTGGGGAGCTCGATGAATGAGGCTGAATAAAAAGCCACTTCCTTCCTCAGTTCGGTGTTCAAGAGGTTTGCTTCTCCTTGCTCCTGCTTCAGAGCCAGGGAAGTAGAGGTTGCAATGAGCCAAGATGGCACCACTGCACTACAGCCGGAACAACAGAGCGGGATCTGTCTCAAAAACAAAACAAAACAAACAAAGAAAACCCCAAGACCCCCACAAAATCTCTGCTAGAAAGTTTCTGTCAATTTCTGTTTCTGATGTTGTAATTCAAAAAGCTTTAAGTTTTAAGGGATGCAAAGATTTAGGTCCTTTCTTATGATGCGAGGAGGGATAAAATCAACAAAACCCAAATGAAAATTTTAATACAATCCTTGGCCACACTTATAAGTGTATAGCCTAGTGCTTGATACATATTAGTTAATATTCTTTGGACTAAAAAAACTTATTATTTCTTGGTTATTCCAGGAACTTAAAATTGTGTTCACTTCTGCACATCCTGACCTATTTCTACCCAGCTTGATCCCAAATTGTCCAAATATTGTCTTCAACAGAGTGATAAAAACAACTCCACAATTAAAGGACCTCAATATGCAACTGATATTCCAGGTGTCTTATGATATGGTAGCTCCACCATGAAGAATCTGATCTCCTCATCCTGGAACAGCAGAGGCAGAGCAAAATGCAGAGCTGGCTTTTCAAGAGTTTTGTTTCTGCAACCATAAAATGCCAGATAAGCAGTTAACACCCTGCTAGTGCTATAGACCAGGATTAAATGGCATGGCAGAGGCCACCTGTTCTAAGAGAGCCTTCACTGGGAACAGGTGTGCACATTGCAATGTGTCACTGAAAAACTTGTTCTCAACTCCCTAAATCCATCAGATGCCACCTAAATGGCCTTTATGATGTACCCACCTATTCTAGTTCAAGATAATATGAGGGCAAAGATGATTAAAAAAACAAAAAACCGCTCAAGAAATTGACACACATCTCCTCCAACATTTGGCCTCTATCTGCTTCAACTCTCTCTTCTTTGGTTACCAAATATATATTTGGGTACTTACTATGTGCCAGGTACATCCCTGGGGACACAGAGATGAACAAGAAAAACCCAGTGTTGGTCTTGTGGATCTTATATTTTGTGATAAAGACTTATTGCCAAATAACTATATATTTTAAGATGATTTAAAACGTGATTACCCTCATAATCTCTCCTGAGAGTAGAGACATATCACTCAGTTATACCTATAAATTAAATCCTGGATATATTTTAAACTACCACTTGCCACAGCTCAGGCTTCAAGACTGGCCAGGCACTGGAGGAGCTGCAGTGGTGGCTCAGGGTGAATCTGGTTCAAACATGACGTCAGACTCCTCCCCATAGACCCTACGATAACTTTCCTGACCCAAGTGCAGACCTCCTTCCAAGTACACCAGAGTTAAGTCCAAAATTCCCAACACACTCATCTCTAATTGCTTCTGACCATAATATTCCACTGCACCTAGTCTCTACTCTCCCCTGTGTTTTGGAACACTGGGCAAAGAGGGAGGGCTGGATTTCTACCAGCAACAACACCAGTTCCAACAACTATCATGGTAGGACAGGGACAGGTGAATGGTCCTGTTGAAACTATTCACCCTCTTTTTGTTGGGAGAATGAAACTATTCTCTTCTTGGAATCAGCCCTGAACACACAGAAGCCCTGGCCCCAGGCTCCGGGGCTGGCCAGAGGGAAGAAAAAGAAGCAGAGGTATCTGCTCTGGCCCACTTAACGAGATGAAACCCTTCAGAGCTTATATATTGAGAACATATGCTCTAGTGTGGGATGCAAAGGCCAGTTGGCGCATTCTTACAGCAGCGTGATGTGAGAGCCTGCTTTGCCTAGGCTGAGTATTGATTCTCTATTCTTCAGGTACCTCACTTCTGAATCTAACCCACTAGGTACTACACAGTTCATGCTAATCATCTCTGTGACTCAGAATTCAGACAGAATCCATCCTGGCCCACCATTGTCTTTGCCTTTTCTTTCCAACCCCATACATGCTTAGGGAGGAGGCAAATACTTTACTGAAGTGCAAATTTTAGGGTACACTTGTGAATAGCCCATATGGGAAACATTCAAAAGACATCTTAGACCTAGAAGGATCAGGGTGTGCTTTTGCGTTTTCACAAGTGTGTACACACCTGTGAAGTGCATCTGTGTCTACTGGTGCATGACTGTAAGCATTTGTGTGTTTAGGAGGTGTATGACTGAATGCGTATATATTGTGTGGGTATAAGACATATTGGTGCTTGTGGGAAAGCAAGTGTGCTGTGTGCTCTGAGAATGGAAATTCCAGAGCATTTTAGGTGGCATGCACAGTCTTGGGGCCAACAGGTCTATGAGTAACTGTGTGTGTTTGTGTGTGTATTGGTGAGTAGGGGATGAACGTGCGCTATACTCCTGCATCTCTAGCTGGGTGTCTATAGGCCACTTTGCTCCTGTGTCTGTGACCCGCAGACAGGATGACAGAGTTGCAGCAGTTAGGCTTTACTACATCTCCGGGTTCACTAGGAGGCGGGGATCCTGGGGATGTGGATGGGGTCACCGTAGATCAGGGGGTCCCTTCTGGCTTGCCCTGCCCTCTTCATCCTTGGAAGTTCCCTCCCCAGGCTCTCCCTCATCATCAGCCTCAGCCATGTCCTCGGTTATTGGCCACTCTCGAGTCTGCCACTCTAGCCGTTCAATGCGGTAAGCAATCTTAAGTGCGCTGGACTCCAGCTCAGCCAGGAGGCGAGCAAACTTAGTCTGTAGATCATCCAGCTGCTGGTCTAGGCCTCGTAGGCGGGACTCTGTGGCCTCCTGTAGGGCGATCTCAGCTGCCTCAGCATTCACATCCAACTTGTTCATTTTCAGCAGGATCTCACGTCCCTTCTCCTCCATGACGGTCTGTGCTTGTGGATACTCACTCAGCACCTCCTTCAGATCCTCCTTGCTCAGGCAGAATAGGTCTGAGTAACCTAGGCTCTTGATGTTGGCTGTGCGGCGGTTCCCAGACATGTTCCCTGTGGCCCATGGGCGGATGGGAGGATAGTTAGCAGGAGGGCGAGGAGGTAGCATTTCACTCCTGAACCAGGACCTCCACCTCTCCTTCTGCCTCATTAATTCTTTCACTTAGTAACATATTGGGGAACAGGCTCTGTGCTATGTGGGTATCAGTGACCTGCCTCAAATAATTCACAGTCTAGCAGAGATAGATATATATTGAAAGAGTTACATAACAGTATGGCTGGTGCAGTGTAGACATATTCATCAGGTACTGTGGAAAAGTGGGCAAAGAGACCCTACCAAACTGTAAGGCAGGGAATTTAGGGAAGTCTGGAGGAAGGGATGTCCTAAAATGTAATCTGAATATTTGTCTCCACCCAAATCTCATGTGAAATGTAATCCCCAGTGTTGGGGGTGGGACCTGGTGGGAGGTGATTGAATCATGGGGGCAGATCATTCATGGCTTGATGCCACGAGATCTGGTTGTTTTGGTTGTTTGAAAGTGCATGGCACCTCCCCCTCCCCTGGCTCCTGCTTTCACCAGGTGACATGCCTGCTCCCCTTTTGCCTTCTGCCACAATTAGAAGCTTCTTGAAGCTTCTCTAGAAGCTGAGCAGTTGCTAGCACCATGCTTCCTGTAAATCCTGCAGAACTGTGAGCCAATTAAACCTCTTTTCTTTATAAATTATGCAGTCTCATATATTTCTTTATAGAAATGCAAGAACAGTCTAATATACCTGAACTGAGTAGGAGGTAACTACATGAAGAGGGGGACAAGTGGGGGTAGGGCAATCTAGCCAGAGGGAGGAGCATGAACAGAGGGAAGGGGGTAGAAAAGAGTCAGGTGGATGTAGAAACTAGTAAGCAGTTCGGACTGTCAGGGTGTGGAGAGGGTGGAGAGAGGGAGATCTAGGTCACGCTGGGTCTCATAAGCCAGGACATGAAGTTCAGACCTTATGCTGAGGGCAGTAGGAAGCTATTGAAATATTTTAAGCAGGGAGCTGTATGATATCTCTGCAGTTTAGAAAGAGGTTGGTGGAGAGTGGATAGGGAGATAGGCAAGGCTGAATACTGCAAAGTCTTAGAGCTAGAAGGACCTTGGAAAAGGGAAAGGAAGCTACCATTTGTTGAACACTTGCTGTGTGCCAAGCAATGAGCTGGATGTCTCACTCATGTAGCTCGTTTATTCTCACAAATAACTCTTAGGGTTTTTATTATTATCCTCTTTGGATAGGTGATTACACTGAGGCTTAAGTAGGGAAATGACTTGTCCAAAGTCAAACAGACAGCCTCCTACCACATACAGGGTGTGGAGCTTGAGGGAATCATTGGAGGACAGATGTGAGGCTTTCAGAATCCCTGAGGATAGAACCCTCATGCTGAGAGAGCCAGAGTACATCTAGCCTCTCAGCCCATGACAGTGCACTCACCCGCTTTGCAGGATTTCCGACTCGCACATGGCCTCATGCCTAATACCTGTGATTAAGCATAACAATTCCTACTGCACGGGCTGATAAAAGGAAAAAGTGAGCCAGTAGGTAGTACCTGGCCTGGCCTAGAGGTGATGGTCAGTAAATGGGAACTTCTCCTCTTCTACCTTTCTTTCCACTTGGCTGTAAAAAAGTTCTTCTTTCTACTCATCCCACATGTTATACCTGTGCAACCTTGGGCAAATTACCTGACTACTTTGAGTTTGATTTCATTATCTTTAAAATTGGGATAAGAATAGTAATTATCTTACAGAACTGTTGTGGGAATTTAATGTTTCGATATCATGTGAACATGTAGTAAGCATGTAATAAACATTAGCTACTATTATGATCTCTGTCACTTTCCACTAGTCTATTGGTGCTTCAGGTCAATACCCACAGAGCAAGTCTATTCTCTCTTCCAGGAACCAATCCTCTTCACTGGCCTTGGCTCAGCTTCTTCTCAGGGAATGGGTCCTCTATGTGTTGTTTTTCTCCTGAGCCATCTAGTGACTCAGAGAAGGACCAGGTTTCCTCAATCAGAAGTTTAGGCCTGAAGTACTATCTGATCCCAGCACTAGGCTCTGCTGTCCTCATCCCTCTCCCTGTCCTTGTCCCTGGAACAAATACTGGGATACCCACCTTTGATGTTGATGATGCTGATCTCCCCAAAGTAGAGCCCTGCACCGAGCACAGCATACTGTGTAATACCATCATCTGCCACCACGGCCAGTTGACCCTCTCGGATGATGTACATCTCTCGGCCAATGTCCCCTTTGCGGCATACATATTCGCCTGGTGAGTAGGTCTGGGGCTGCAGCTTCAGCACCAGCTCCTCCAGCAGGCTGGCCTCACAGTTCTGAAAGATTTGCACCCGGCTCAGAGTAGACAGGTGCACGGACACAGCCACTTCTGCCCGCAGCCGCTCAGGCAAGTGCTGTAAGATGGCTATCTCATTGGTCATCTTCTTGTTGATCTGCAGGTGCTGATACCTGAGAGTAAGGACAGTGCCATTTCCTTGCCAGCCTTTTATATGCCTGCCTCCACTTCTTCTACCAGGGCTCAGCTCAGCTCCAGCAAAGAACCCCACCATACTGAGATCTAACAGGGGTCATGGGAGTACCTGACAGTTGGATAATCTGTTTTTGAGGGCATAGACACCTCTACCACTTGACAATAAATAAGATAACCCTTCACCTCCTGTCAGGCTCTACCCTACCCACCAATCAGTGCTGTCTTGTTCCACCCCTACCCTTAGCTACCTCAGCGACCAAGGCCCTCCTCTCTGGAGACCCTCTGCTCTCTCTCCCAATTTTGTGACACTTCCTTTTGTTCAGTCCACACTATGGATCACCATAAGGTAGTCGACCATCTGCTTGCTGGCCATTCTCAGGGAGGATTGCCCTTCTCCACTCACTCCTTCCAGAGCTTTCTGAGCCCTAATAGGCAGTGGCAGTTCCCATTCTCTGGTCTCCATATTATCCTTTTTGGGTATGAGCTCCTCTCCCTGTTGGTCTCTTACCCACCTCCTCCCCCCAAGTCCTGATTCCTTGTTGAAGACATCTCTTTCCAAGCCCCACCCAGCAAACCCACAGCTGAATGCTACATTTTGACTGCCTTGCCTGGCTCACCAGGCAGTAAGGACCCAGTTACCTCCCTCAGGTTCCATCATGTACACTGGTTCCTGTCCTGGTCTGGAGCCCCAAATTCTCACCAGTCAATAACTCTCCGCTCCAGCTTGCGGTTGACGTGCTGCAGTTTCATATACTTCTTCACCAGCGCGTGATCTGGGTAGAAAGCCGCCCCTGCAGTGTTCATGTTGTAGATGACAGAGCTCATGCTACCCATGATGGTAGCGAAACCCATGACAGCCAGCAGGAAGTCACCCACCATGAAGAGGTACTCCTCCTCCCGGGCTGGCGGCGGCGTATCGCCTACGGTAGTCAGGATCAGCGTGGAGAAGTAAAAGCTGTAGAGGTACTGGCGCCGCAGGCGCTCAAAGCCAGGCTGTGCGGGGTCCGGGTACACCCATACGTCGCGCCCGAAGCCCAGGTACCGGGATAGGGCAAAGTATAGGCAGCTGTTCCAATGGATGACGACAAAAATGTAAAGCATCAGCTTGGCAATTCGAAAGGCGTTAGGGTAAGCTGTGCGGGTCTCTGTGCGGTCGAAGGCCTCGAAGAGGCGGGGCATGCGGAGAAAGCGGTTCAGCCTCAGGGTGGGTGTGTGTGGGCCCAGCCGCAGGTAGACCACGTCTGTGGGCATCAGGGAAGCCAGGTCCAACAAGAAACTCCAGGTGCGAACGTAGCGACTTGAGATCCTACCCTTGTCCACCACCAGGATGCCCTGTTCTAAGAATCCTAGGGGGAGGTAAGAAGGGGATCTGCTGTAGTCAAGCGTGGCTGAGCATGAGCAGGCCAGGGCAGGCCAGGGAGCCGGTCCAAAGGACAAGGTGGAGCAGGGTATAACTCTGCTCCGGGGTTCCTGGGGTAAGCATTGGGATGCTGTCACGCGTAGAGGTACAGGAAGGTGGGGATGCCTTTCTTGTTACTTCTTAAGTGGCTGTCTTTAGGAAGGGAACATGGAACAAAGGGTCATTCCTAGAAGCTCACTGACCTGTGTGGAAGCGCACCACAATGTCCAGCAGGTACAGCAGGTCACTTGTGTAGTCCAGCACCAACCAGGCCACCAGATAACCGTGCTGCAAGTCGGGGAAGCAAGCTCTGCAGGGCAGGGTTAGGCATGATTGGAATAAGAGCACCCTCTCTGTGTGAGCCATCTGCCCAGGGCCCTCAGCACTCTGCCTCAGGCCCCCCAGGGATCTGCCTCCTCCCTGCCTGCCCCTGCCCCCAGGATCTGCCATTCTTCTTGGCCTCACTCTTCAGTCCTCTTCTAGGCTTTCCCCCCCTCCCTTAGAGCCCCTGCCAAACCTGCACACGAGGATGATGAGGTTATACATGACTGGGAAGACCATTGTGTTCAGCCACCAGTAGTAGTAATCCCCAGATGGGTCCAGGATAGGCAGTGACTTCCTGAAAGAAGGAAAGTCTTGCTTCATTTATTCACCAGGCATTCAAAACTGTAGTTGTGACTCGGGCACCAAGAGGAATGAGGAGAGATCCCACACAGGGGACCAGGACTTCTCACCTGGCTTTGGATGGGGCTGGCGGATTGGACTCTGTTGTTTTTACTTTGGTGTCCTGGCTCATGGTTCTGTGCTCTCGTGCTGGGGTGTGAGATGTCCACACCTTCTCTGCCTGTAGGGGACTTCCCGAGTTGGGGGCTAGTGCCTGACTGCCTGAAGGAGGCTGCCCTAGGGCTCCCGCTGTGACTTCTTTGTCTTTGAGGCTCTTAGCAACACAACCAGAGCTACTGAAGGGGTGGAGACAGTCTAGCTCCAGTACTCTGCCCTGTCTCCCAGGGCCTGGGCTTACATCTGCCCAGCTAAACACCTGTAATGAGATCCCTGGAGAAGGTGGGGAGTGCATGACTCAGAGGGAAGCCTGGGTCTTGTTTGTTTTCCTCCTCCCCTCCCTTCACAGCAACTGAGCTACATAGGTGTCCTCTAGGTTAGAAGACCTGTGTTTTAGTGTAGGATCAAACGCTCACTCTGTTCTTTGCAAATTCTCTGTGTGGGCTTCACTGTTTATTTAACAACTATGACTGAATGGTTCATCTATGTCAGATGCTAAACTGTTCTCCAGGGACAAAGACATGCCTCTCACATGAGAAGTGAGCTCTATTTTCATAATCTACATCCTACCCATATCTACCTCCATATACACCTTTCCCCATCACACCACTATCATAGATAGTGTGATAGGGGCCATTCTATGGTGCTTTTGTGCTCATTTCCTTCTTGTTACTTCTAGTGCCTGATCCTAGCAGCTATTCCATGGGTTTTATGGTCCCCAATCTTTCAACTTTTCTCTTTTTGTGAACCTGCTTAAATATCTCCTATATCAAAACAAACAAAAATCCTATAATTTCTCCCTCAACCTGATGTTCCTTTCACTACTATCATCCTTCTCAGTCAACAAATCAAAATCAGAACACCCATAGGCAGGTATTCTGTGTGCCAGGCCAATATTGTGCTAAGTACTAGGAACTGGAGATGAATAAGACATAATCCCTCCTCTCCAGAAGTTCACAGTCTGCTAGGTGAAATAGTCAGGAAGACAGATAATTACACATTAGGTGATTAAACAGTAGCAGTACTGCCAGGATACTGATGAGTACTCTGTTAGGTGGATATACAGAAGGTTATTATAGCACACAGGAAGTGTCCTGTGTTCTGTAGGATGAATAGAAGTTGGGTACAGAGATGGGAGGGTGAAGAGCACTAGAGGCAGAGTGCACAGAGTGGGCAAAGGCATGGAGACATCAAAAAGCATGGGTGACTGGGCAAACATCAACTGGTTTATTTTAGAGGACCTAGTGGGTAGTGGTGAGAGATGAGGCATGGTGAGAGATGAGAGATGAGGTGAATGATAGACAGAGGTCAGCTCAGGAAGAGTTCTGTCAGCCTTGTTATAAAGCTTGGATTTTACCCAATGGCAATAGAGAACCTCTAAAGAGTTTTGCACAGTTAAGTGATAGAATCAGGTTTGTGTTTTTGGAGTGCTTTAGAAGAAAAACCTGTGGTCCCTAACTAATTTTTGTGAAACTCTCTTTTTCCATGGCTTCTTAATTTATTTAGAAGCCCCACATGTTAAAATGAAAAGATAATATTTAAAATAATGCAAAAAAATGAATAAAATCCTTTGTGATGCCATATTGTCTTCATTTTCTGTTTATTTTTTTAGACTCTTTCATAAGCTCCTCTGTCTATTCCTTCTATGATGGTGTTTTTTTTTTTTCCCCCTTGGATTCTGTTTTAGGCTTTCCTCTTTTGCCATCCTCCTAACTCTTTCTGGTTGACGTCAGTCACCCACAGGACTTCCTTTGCCATATAGTGGCTCCCAAGAACTCTCCCTGAGCTGCAGTTATCTATATGACTAACTGCTCACTGGATGTTCCTACTTGGATATCCCAGTCACCTTCCACCCATTGGGTCTATAACTGAGCTCATTATCTTCCTCTATCTACTTTTTCTCCTAGAATTCCTATCTTTGCCTTTTCAGCAAGAAACCTAGGACAAGCATTTATTGTTATTGTATAACATTGTGGCAGTTAAAAAAAAATGGTTACAGTCCCGGCGTGGTGGCTCATGCCTGTAATTCTAGCACTTTGGGAGGCTGAGGCAGGCAGACTGCCTGAGCTCAGGAGTTCAAGACCAGCCTGAGCAACATGGTGAAACCCTGTCTCTACTAAAATACAAAAAATTAGCCTGGCATGGTGGCATATGCCTGTAGTTCCAGCGACTCAGGAGGCTGAGGCAGGAGAATTACTTGAACCAGGGAAGCAGAGGTTGCAGTGAGCCGAGATTGCACCACTGCACTCCAGCCTGGGTGACAGAATGAGACTCCATCTCAACAACAACAACAACCACAAGGCCACAAATTCTTTGACACCACTCCCTTGTGATAGTTTCAACCAACAGAGTATAGCAGGAGTGATGCTGTATGACTTGTGAGGCTAGATCATAAAAGGCCATGCAACTTTCCTCTGGTTCTCTTAGAATGCTTGTTGTCTGGTAGCTCCCTCTCAGGATGTTCCCTCCTGGAAACTACCCATCACACTGTGAAAAGTGCTGTTTGACAGTTCCCCCAATGAGTTCAGTTTTTGGTTGTTCCAGCCCAGGAATTAGATGTGTGACTGAAGAAGCCTCCAGATGCTTCCAATCACCATCCTCAAATCACCCCTAGATGTTCAAGTTTTACAGATAAGACCCCAGACATCGTGGAATAGAGACAAATCATTCCTGTTGTATCTCATCCAAATTCCCAGAATTTGTGCACATAATAAAATGGCTATTGTTTTTATGACACTAAGTTTGGGTTGGTTTTTCACACAGCATAGTAACCAGAACAAACAAACATAGACAAAGGTGTACAATCCTTAAGTGTATAGCTTGATACATTTTCACAAAGTGAACACACCCATATAACCAGCACTCAGATTAAGAAACAGAACATCACCAGTGCCTCAGGAGCCCCATTCTGCCCCTTTCAGTCAATGCTTTTCCAAGAGTAATCACTATCCTAAATTCTAATATTATAGTTTAGTTTTACCTGTTTTTGAATTTATATAAGCTAAGCATTAGTTTTTAATTCTTCCTCTTATTTTCCTCTTATATCCACCCAATCATCAAACTATGGTGATCTACCTTCTAAAAGTCCACATGTCTGCTTCTCTGCATTTTTACTATTCTAGTTTGGGCTTTATAAGCTTGTTTTGTCTTTGCCAAGGTCCCCTCACTATCAATCTATGTATAAAATTCTTTGTAGCCATCATCCCAAAAGTAAAATTGAAATTCCTTAGCATGGTTTATAAAGTTCTTTAGTCCATGTCTTCAGCCTCATCTCACAATGTTTCCTCACATGTTCCCTAGGCTCCAGACACTGTACTGATTGCAGTTCTTATAGGACCCCCCACATGTTGTCCATTTTTCCTTTCCCTGGTATATGCTGATCCTGTGGTCTGAAACTTCTATTTATTTTTAAATACTTTTTATTTGAACTAATTTTAGGCTTACAGAAAAGTTGCAAAAATAATACAGAGTTCTTATCAATTCCTTATCCATGTTTCCCTAATGTTATGATCTTATATAAACCATAGCACAATGATCAAAAACCAGGTATTGGCCGGGCGCGGTGGCTCAAGCCTGTAATCCCAGCACTTTGGGAGGCCGAGGCGGGTGGATCACGAGGTCAAGAGATCGAGACCATCCTGGTCAACATGGTGAAACCCTGTCTCTACTAAAAATACAAAAAATTAGCTGGGCATGGTGGCGCGTGCCTGTAATCCCAGCTACTCAGGAGGCTGAGGCAGGAGAATTGCCTGAACCCGGGAGGCGGAGGTTGCGGTGAGCCGAGATCGCGCCATTGCACTCCAGCCTGGGTAACATGAGTGAAACTCCGTCTCAAAAAAAAAAAAAAAACAAACAGACAAACAAACAAAAAAACCAGGTATTTAATATTGGTAAAATACCTTTAAAACTACAGACCTTATCTGAAACTTCTGTTTTTCTATTTTAGTTTATCTTATTCTTGCTTGTTTCCCAACACTCGGCTTAGACACCTCCTGGAAGTCTTCCCTAAGCTCCTTCAACCTACGTTCCTCTCATTCTCTATACTGTACATGCAAATCATGCTAAGTGCTGCTCCTAGATGGCCCCCACAGTATTGCACTTATTACACTACATTGCAATTCTCTGAGGTCCTGGAGAGCAGAGGCCGGTTCTAATTGATCTGGAATCCAGCTGGACATGCAAGCACTTATTCCGTGTTTCTTGATTCAGCGCTCAAGGGGTCACGGAGCAGCACAGCACAAAGATGCTGGGGGAGCCAGGGGCAGTCACTGCTGGGGTACTAAAGTAGAGACCAAGCTATGCACCACGATGGAGCAAAAATGAACTAGATTCCCCACAGTCAGCCCTCTCTAGGGGTCAGCTTTTCCGCAGGTCGGGCCCACCTACTGATTCCTTCTCTCACGTCTACAGGTAATCTTTCGTGATAGCCACGCCCTCCACACCCACTCTTCCACTCCAAGCTTCGCCCGGAACCCGTGGCCCCACCCCTTTCTTCTACGTATTTCTTCCGGCTCCATCTCTCCCAAGCCCCGCCTTTCTGACTTTTCCCTGCCTCTAAAAGTCGCATCTCTCCTTAGGTCCCGCCTTCTGCCCTCTGGTTCGACCTTTCCTTCCCGGGCTCCGCCTCCGCCCTGCGGGCCTCCACCTCCCCGGAGGCCTTCCCAGGTGACACGCCGGAGTCCTTCTGAGGGGCGGGGTTTACGCACGAATGGGGCGGAACCGGGAGGAGAGGCGGTGCTCCTTACTCGGAATGCTGTGGGTGTCCCCACCCCTGCGTTCGGCCGTTGCCAGGAAACAAGCGTCCCTGCTCCGGTTTGGTCCGGCTCAGCCAATGAGCTGGCACGCCATTGCCCAGTCGTGCGTCTCCGGGTGGTTACGTATGGTGCGCGGGGGTGCGGCTGCGTGTGGCGCGGGGCGGGGCGCGGATGGTGCGCCTGAGAAGCGATGGCGGCGGCCTGAACTCACCTAACAGCCGTGACGACCGGGCCTGGCCAGGGTCGGCGTTCCGTGAGTGAACGGTACGCACGGGCCAGAGGGCCTGGAGAGGCGCTTGGAGGGGCTGAGAGACTGGGAAAAAATGTACTGGGTTTGGTTACTGTACTGGTTGTGAGGGATTGGCAGGTGGTGAGGGTCCGGGAGTAAGTGTCTAAGATAGGGGAGAAAGGTGGGAGCTTACAGGTGAATGGACAAATGAGGGTCTGTGAGGGGCTTGGATGTTTTCGGAGGTGCCAAGTTGAAGGGACTCCTGAACACGGTTTACTAGGTCTGGGGCTACTGAGGGCTGGTGGGGTGAGGGATACCCGGGGACTAGAGTGAGGGGGTAAGGCCTGCGCGAGGCGAGGGAGAGTCAAAGGCGAAGGTGGGAGCCTGTGGGCTGGCGGCAAATTGGTGAGGGAGTTGAAGGCGGGCCATGGAAGGAGGAAATTAGGGCTGTGAGACTTGGATAAAGGTGAAAGGTTGGTTCTGGGCCTCCTTCGATGATGGACTGTTCTGCCCAGTGAGAGTAATAGTTTTAGACAGGGTAGGGCAGCTTGGGTGGAAGTATTGTGCACTTGACTCCTCTGCTCCCATGGACTTTCCATATTCTGGAGGACGAGAAAATGAAGGTGTCATGGGCAATAGAAATGTGATAATGAAAATCATATCTGAGGTTCAGTCTTTAACAGAGTAGTCACTGAAACTTCATTTCCTTCGAGTTTCTCCTTTGGACTGCATAGTTGAAGATGGGCCCTCTCATGAAGGGTTTTGCACTATCACAGCTTGTGTTTTCTCTCTACCTGCTTCTGGACAACCTTATTCAACTGTTGCTCCTTACCTATGCTTAACTGTGGGTCTTTGATTGGATTGACCATTTTCAGTTGCTAATTCTACTTTTATGGAGGTCATATAGTTTGCCCTATACAACACTATATTTAGGCTCCCAAACAGGATGGCTTTGCTCTCCTTTCTTACAGTTGAATTTTTTAAAAAGCTAGTTTATATTATATTTAAAAAGTACATTTGATGAGTTTTGACCTGTGTACACACCTGTGAAACCATCACTCTCAAGATATTGAACATTTCAACCACCTGAAAATTCATCTCTTTCTCCCCACACCCTGTAATTGGTTTCATCTTGCTAGGGATTTTTTAGGTCCCTTTCTCCCCACCAACCCAAATGCACATGGAATTCTGGAAAGTTGGGTTGGCATTCAGTGATAATGGCCACGTTCACACTAGTAAATTTTCCTTTCTACTGATAGTCTGCCATGGGGTTGGGACATCCTGATTCTTTCCAGACTCAGGAGGAGCTAAGTCTTTCCTCTCCAGACTATTCCCTGAGAATTAGCCTCAGTCCCCATTCTTTTCCAGAATGTAGCTTCAGAGCCAACTATTCTATCCTGTGGCATATTCTCATTGCTTCTTTCTGGAGACCAAACAGGCCTCCATACTAGTGGAACCCTTAGCAACTTGCCCAGACAGAACTTTATAGGACCTGCGTGTATAGTTTGGAGTTCGGAGTGGTGGTTCCTAAACACTGGGTCAAGGAC